TAGAAACATTCAAGGTTCGAAAGGAAGCAGTTCAATCAGTAGGCAGTGCAGAAGCGGAACGTCAAGAAAGAAAGCTAATATATCTTATATTTTAAGATGAAATTCAGAATTCAGTTCAATCAGTAGGCTAATATTTTAAGGGTGAAATTATAATTATATTAAGGCAATAAACCTTTTTATATTCATTTTATTTTTATGTATAGAAAGCGAGTTCCGTCGGAGTATTGATCTGACAACAACTCTACTGGACCTAGGGTGTTGACCGAAGGTCAACCGCTTCTGCTAGAATATTGATCTAGTGGCAGTTCCGTATCCAGTCTTGGAGTATTGATCTGACACGTACCTATTCCCTCCTGTGTTCAAATACTGTTGTTTCGATGTCGGTATTGTAGTCTTCCACCGGCAAACGCCTGAACCAGGATACCACTTCATCTTTGATGAAGTAGTCTCCTTCTCCATTATTTTCTTCTACCCAAGAATTCCTTAAGCTTTGGGAATAGATAATCGAACTATTAACTAATACTACATCGAACTAATAATAGACTACATCATTATTTAGAGCTGCTATCAATAAAGTCACGATAGCGAATATGGTAGCCAATATGATACCCAACGATCGATAAAGTTCATGGAACTAATAGAAGAAGATTAATCGAAACGCACGAGGTCTGGACTGTAGAGAGGGTGCTCAAAAATTTGTGCGTTGTAGAAGCATAGCGCCGAGCATTGCTATGAACCAGAAGTACCTTCGTTGAAAGTATGCCAGGTTTTGTTATTTTGTATTGCACGGTTTAGTCTTTGAAAGGTTTCGCAATAGGCTTCTGAATGTATTGTTTCACTTCTAGTCATAAACTCTACGTGAATTATACCCTTACTTTTGCAAAAAACAGTGTTATCAGTTTTCTTGTGTTCAGATTCGGTTTTTCTTTTTTGCGCTCCCTAGAGTGTACTGGTCAACATTTCTTATGTTCTATTACTGCACACAAAGGTAATAGACTTGGTATTTTATTTATTTAATGTAAAGGATCTTTAAAGGATATCACTTTTTTAATTTCCAAAAGGAACAGAAGTTGAATATAAGAAAAATAAGGAAAAAATGACATTCTAAAACAATTATGGAGACAAGATATAGTCTAAACAGTTAAAAAATAAATAAAATTAATTGCAAATCAATATAACGTATAAGGAGTAGTGCATTAAGCCGTTATTTATATGTTTTAAAATATGTAAACAATCTAATAGGAAAATCAGGGTTCTCTATTTTTTAAAACAACGTATTTTCGATGACCAGAAACCAAGAATTTTTAAACAAAAAAAATTGTACAATGAATTAATAATAAATTAATAATATTTTGGATATTATTTAGAAGCAATAATATAGTTTGGTTAATTATAGTAAGAATGGTCTCTTCCCACAATGAAAATAACAAATAAATATTTTAAAACCTGCCAATTTCGTTTCCAATAAAAAGTATTCATAAAGTTCTTCTTTTTGTATTCAACAAAATAACGGTATCGTGTTTATTACATGTCATATTTACATAAACGACGGATCTGAACAAGCAAAGAGCCATTAATTAAACAAAAAACGTTAGTGAGAGGTCAAAGACACAAATTTCATCAAAAATCACTGACTCTTGTGGTGTACGGTACCTACTAGTCAGTAGTAATATTTTGCAAATAAAGTAAACCATTTAATATTTAATTTAAAAACTGTTTTTAATCTATAGTAAGCTTCCAATATCTAATTCATCTTTCTTTTTTGTCTCCTGCGAGCTGGTATGATTCATTTTAACGCTTTTCCACTATTTATTCTTATCGATTAATTTCTTCAGTAATCCGTCTTGAATCGTCCACTGTTGTGTCTATTCGTTTCGAATATTGACGATAATTCTGGCAATAATTATTTTATTAACTGATGCTTTAAATAGATCAGTTGTTGTGTTCTTCTCCCAATTCCTCGCTTTCCGAATAATTTGCCTTGAAGGATTATTTTTAGTAATCTGTATTTAGTGCCGTTTCTCATTATGTGTCCGAGATATTCTAACTTTCTCGTCTTAATCATATTCTCTTTCTTTCCCCATTCTTCGTAGTCTCGTTGGTTATCTTGTCCGTCCATGATATCCTTAGAATTCTTCTGTATAGCCACATGTCGAAGACTTCAAGTTTTTTCTCCATTGCTTCAGTGAGTGTCCAGGATTCAACTCCGTATTATAATGTCGAGAAGATATAACATCGAAGGAGCCTTACTTTTATTTATTTAAAAATCCTTAATAAAAGGTATATAATTAAAAGATCCTATCGGGCTACATCACAGAACGTTTTCGGAAATAATATTCCATTATCAGTGTGTCTAAATGTACATGTTTTAAGTCACTAAATCTTTGGGTAAAAACCCTTTAAATCTTTTTAATTTGAATTTAAGTTACATTATTTGATCTTATATACTATGATGTGGAAGTTACAATTGCCAGTCCTGAGACAAAGTGTCTACGAGGACTTGTTGATAGCAATTTTTTGTGATACATGGTATACAGCCAGCTATAGGAGCTTAATTTCCTTGTGAACCTTACTTTTATCTACAGATTAAGGTTATGGCTTTTAAAGAGTTTGGCCATGTTATGGACTGCACTCCTAGCCTTCTCTATGAGCTCATGACACGAGTGGACAAAACAAGTCTTTTGCGAGTGGCATGCGCCTACAGAACTGTGTCTGCGGCAGCCTTGTGGACCATCACTGGATGTGTTCCGTTGCATGTTTTGGCGGTGGAAAGAAAAGAGCTCTATGAGAGAAGAGGCCCAAACCTTACTGTGGCCGAGACAAGACAGGAAAGTAAAAGGTCAATTGAAAGATGGTAAGAAGAATGGAACAACACGGAGGATGTGGCACACTGGACGAAAATGCTAATCCCGAACATAAGAGATTGTGTGGACTGTGGCCACAGGCGACTGGAGTATTTCTTGACGCATTTGCTCACAGGACACGGGTGTTTTAGGGTCTACCTCTTTAGGATCGGAAATACTGACACAGATGAATGCCTATACTGTGGATACTCGGATACTGTGACACATACGATGTTAGATTGCAGTAGATGGATAGTGGAAAGGAACAATGGAGAGAGAGACAGGTGTGAATTTTGTTACAGTGATAGAAATGATTGAGAGAACGATTGAAAATAAATCATGGTGGACTAACATACACAGCTATATCCTCTTTCAAGGAAGAGGAAGAAAGACAGCTGGACCAACGGCAAAGATAAAAGTGAAAGATGCTGAAAGTTGAAGTCAGAAAAGTGGGTCAGACTGTATGAGTTAGAATGCGTGATTCAGACTGTGGGGAAGGAGGAAATGCCCGTCTGGGAATGATGCCCAACTAGGAGCGATGAAGGTCTTCTATGCGCTACCTGGAACGAGACAGGGAGCCTCCTTGCTGATGTATAGAGTGTGGATGTGTATGAATGGAGAATGAATGAATGAAGGTAGTGCTTTGGAAGTGATGCCAGCCTTATACCGGCCATTCCGTTTCCGGATGGCTGGATGACATTTTAAAGTACCTAGGGAACTATCGCCGGGAGTACGAAGAACGAATCCTGCACTAAGGTTAGTCAGGCGGCGTCCTGGACTGAGATGACTTGAAGATTCCAGAAAATATAAAGACGAAAAAAAAATGTTCGCAATTTTCCAAGGCTTCACTAGTCTCGTGTACTAGGGTAAAAGGATGGTATAGTATTTTTCACAATAAAATCATTTCACGTCACGATTTGTATTTTAAATTTCTGTATTATCAAACTTATTAAAATTTCCCTAACACAGCTAAAAATATGACATCCATACGGAGCTCCTCGATCTTTCATAGGCGTCGACATAGTTAGAAACGCGAGGTATCAAAGAAAAAGAAAAATAAAGTTAGTGCGCAACGACACAGTTTTATTTGAGGAAGGTTTTTATGTGACGGAACAACGAGTTTCTACCTTCCGACACAACAAAAAATTTAGTGAAGACAATATTTATACAGGGTCACATGAATCTGAGAAAAGTGATGATGAATATAGGATTTCGATGAAAGAGAAGAATAACAGAAAAACTCTAATGGAAAAACCTGAGATCAAGTGGATCTTATTTGGTACACTTTTCTTATAACATGAGTATTTTAATTCAAAAATTAAAATAATAGTGAGTTATCAGCGATACCAAGAATATGCAATCCTGTAGTTATTAAAACTAAAACAATGAAACAAAGATTATATTGGAATTAATGGAAGAATACAATAATTATATAATAGAGAATGAGAATAAGAATAGTAAGATATCTCTAAATTTATCGTCTTTCGGGTTTGGACCATGTGTTTCTTACACATACTCAGACCAACCATACGCGGGTTATCTTAACGTTTCGCTACTTTTGTAGATAGCTTCTTTAGGAGTAAAGGAAGGCATTGATCAAGTAATTAATGTAGCGTACCTAGAGGCGATAATCAACAGCAGGGGAACTGATTCAGAAATACTATCCAGAGTTAAAACGTGGATTCACATTCTTTGTAGTGTTTCCACTATTAATGTTACTGTGCGTGAATCTTTCCTGCGACAGTTTGTTCAGCCTTTCCTTGTTCCTGAAGAAGTTGCCTATAAAGACAGCGAAACGTAGATATGACCCACTTATGGGTTGGCCAAAAAAGAGACGCGATCAAAAACCGGTGGATGATTAGTTAATTCTGACTGATAGAGGAAGCCCTGATTTCATAAATTTATTGTGTTTTGAACAATTCTTCTTTTATGTTGAATCACATGATATTGATCGTATGTATTATGTTATATAAGCTTATATTTGGACAAATTGTTTCATTTTTTTTGTAGTATTTGTGGGTTCACTGTTGAAATTTCCTTTTTAATGTCTGAATGACAACTGTGTAAGTTATATGATCATAATTTTTTACCTAGATCCCTAAAACAACGGTACGGGAAGTTTAATAATATATAGGTATTACTAATAATAACGCTTACAGCTACTGTGGATCCATTTTTGCCCACTCCTCCCGTAAAAATTATAGAAAGATTAGATTGGGCAAGAAACACCGCTATCATACACGCCAACGCTATCGGTATCAACTTCATTTCAACGTTCATGGTAGGTAGCTTTAATAAGAATCAAGAAAAAAATTTAATTATCCAGGTTATGTCAAATATAACGACCTAATACGGACTAGGTATCTAATAATATTTGTAGCATATCGCTATTAATTAAACAAATTCTGGGAAAGTATTCATTTTTTATATATTTCAATCATTTTAATAATTCCTAATTAGTATGCATACAAAACACCATGTTTTAATTATAAATAATAATATAATTAAGACAAATACCGTCACAATTAAACATAGTTAATTAAACTTAAATTACTACAAATATGATTATATTTGTTTAATTTTTAATAACTTAAAATATTATATTCTAGTAACATAGAATATAATGAATACATTTTAGTCTTTTATTGAACATATCACAGTACAATACAAGTAAAATGTAATATTTGGTTAGTTTCACGACCAGACTGGCCCACCGGTCCGATACGTCTTTTGCCTTAGTTAACATCATAAAAAAATTAACGCTGAACATTTAGCCAAAAATAATGTAGCTACCGATTTCGCCGTTTGATTGATTTATTGGTTTAAATAACCATGGTGTTTTTGCAAAATACAACTCGTATCAGGTATCAGATAACCAAAGGCTAGCTTTTTCATCACTTTGGTTTTTTAGACAGAAGGTTTGTAAGGTATCCAATGAGGATTTTGCTTCCTTAACTGACACGTCTGCCAAAGGTTCTGATGTATAGCACTCATCTTCATCGTTACTTTTTTTATTCGTATCTGTCATAGATAAAATTTCAAAATCGGTTAGTGAACCTGAGACAGCCACTTCTTTATCCACTTGAACAAAGTCAAAAAAACTCACACCACTGATGTCAACTAATGGTTCTATTGCTGTTTCTTCATCATCCATAAGTATTGGAAGATTGTCCTGATCTTCTTTTAAGAAACCGGATTTTTTAAAGCAGTTGACAATTGTTAGGGGTGTTATGTCACCAATAGCTCATGCTTTCATAGCTCGGGCTACTGTTTTCCATTTCTTCCTATTAGTAGCCTTGTCCTTCCATCTTTCTATTCCCAGTGTTTCTAGGTATTTCTCTACTTCTTGCTTCCATCTACTTCTCGGCCTTCCTCTCCTTTTTTTGTACCCATTGTATGCATCAGAATCATTTTTGGTACTCGAGAATTTGTCATTCTTTCTATGTGCCCTAGACACCTGAGTATCTGAGCCTTTACTACTCCCACTATACTAGGATGCTTGTACATATCTTCTAATTCTTTATTTGTTCTTCTTTTCCATGTATTGTCTAATATCTTGCCTCCAAATATCTTTCTCAAAACCTTCCTTTCCCATATTTCGAGCATACCTATTTCGCCTTTGTTCAGTGTCCACACTTCACTGGCGTAGGTTACCACTGGTTGTATAACTGTTTTGTAAATCCTTATTTTGGCATTCCTAGATATCTGTTTACTTTTTAATAGCCTGTTTAATAAGTACACGCATCGGTTTCCTGCCATTATTCTTGATTGTAGCTCCTCTCTAATATTTGGTTTGCCTGTGAACATCGACCCCAGGTATGTAAATCTTTCCACTGCTTCAAATATATATGCTTTTTCACCCTCTACTTCTATTTTTAGATTTCCTCCTTTTTGTTCACTGTCATCTATCCATTCCATGTATTTTGTCTTACTTTCGTTGATGGCTAAGCCTATTTTCTTTGCCTCTCTATCTAGCCTCTTTACTACTTCTTGTAGCTCCCATTTGCTTCGTGCCAGTATAACTACATCGTCAGCAAAGGCTAGACATTGGTGCTTTCTTTGGTATAACAATCCCTCTCATTTAACATTTGCATCTCGTATGACCTTCTCCCACTAGTCCCTAGTCCCATTGGGACCACAGAGGAGTAACGATAGACGGCGAAAAGCTTAACCATCTCCGTTTCGCAGATGACATTGTCCTTATCACAGATAATTTAGGAGAAGCTACAGATATGTTAAAAATTGGATTTTGCATGTTCGAAGGTGGGCCTGAGAATGAACTTGACCAAAACTAAGTTTATGACAAATTTGGTCCCCAATAACCATTTGACAATTCAAGACAAAGTGGTAGAACTGGTGGAGAAATATACGTATTTGGGTCATGAAATAAGAATCAGCAGGGATAACCAAACATGTGAGATCCAAAGACGATTTACTTTAACATAGGCAGCCTTTGGAAAACTGCGAGACACACTTAGGGCCAACATACCAATCAGCCTCAAAAGAAAAGTGTTTGACCAATGCGTATTACCGGTCATGACCTATGGGGCGGAAACTATGACTTTAACCAAGACCACGGCTTCGAAACTGAGAGTGGCACAGAGACGAATGGAACGGTCTATGCTGGGAGTGACGTTGAGGGGCCGAATAAGAAACGAAGATCTGCGAAGAAGGACGAGTATTAGTGATGTTGTGGAACGCATAGCAGAACTAAAATGGAACTGGGCAGGCCATGTAGCGAGAATGCACGATTCACGATGGACGAGCAAAATTACAAATTGGAGGCCAAGAGCAGACAAACGCAGTAGAGGAAGACCACCTACACGTTGGGCCGACGATATCAGGCGTATCACTAAAAATTGGCAACAAAGATCACAAAATCGTGAGGAATGGAGGAGTTTAAGGGAGGCCTATGTCCAGCAGTGGACGTGATAAATAGAGGCTGGATGATGATGACCTTCTCCAAACACAAGCTGAATAGTATCGATGATAGGGGATCTCGTTGCCTTACTCTTTCACTGACTTCAAATTTTTCCGACATTATATTATTTATTTTAACTCTGCTCTCAGTCTTGGACAACGTTATTTGTATCTTTCTTATAAGTTTTCTACTGATACCCAATTCTTCTAGTGCTTTGCTCATTTGGTTCCGTTTTATTCTGTCGTACGCTTGTTTGAAATCAATGAAGAGGACCCTTGTCGGCAGATTGTGTTTGGTTACCATCATAGCTATCTTAATTTTATTCATTGCCACCCTATTCCGGCTTTACGATTAGTCAAATGGTCAAATTGCAACCATAATTGCAGCCAATGGCATTGCCCGATATTGAGTATTGGCTATTGTGCAAGCTCCAATGACAGAGCGCCATGGAGCAGTTGACCTAATTAATTCTGCATAAATATATGTGCATAACGGCCAAAAGTTCGTTCTGGTCTGGACAAGGATCCGCAGAACCAGCCTTCTTGACATTAGAGACCTTCTGGTTCATTTAGTTCCCATAAATTCTGACTTTTACTTTTGTACCTAACCGTTATCCTTTTTATTACAGGGTTTTTCAAAGTCCCCTAGCTGGACTTAGGATAATTTATATTTAATTGTATTTTTCTAGGCATTTTCGACTTATTCTTATTTCGATTTATTTCATCTTTTTGACTTAGTGCAAATTTGTGAATTTATTTCAATATTTTTCCATAGTCAAGTTCATAAACGGACTAATTTCATATTTTCATTTTTGTCTTTATTTTACAGGTATGCATTTTCGAACTTCGAACTATCGAATATTTTCGTAAAATATTTATTTTCGATTTATTTATTATTTTTAACTTGGAATAATTTCATTGAAATATTTCTATTTTCTTTCAGATTCTTTCAGAATAATTTCATAATTTATTTATTTGACATTTTTAGGGATTTTTAACATAGAGGAATAATTTTGTAAAATTATTTCTATTTTCCCTTGCAGATTTTCTATAATTCCCTAAACGAATTTTTATAATATTGTATATTTTATTTTCAGCGATTTAGAATAATTTGATATAATTATTTCTTTTTCTGGTGTCTAAGTGCCCAACTTTGAATTGTAGAGAGGTTCGAATTATCGCAGTTTTGAATTAACGCGAGTCTACTGTAGGTACTATATAATCAAAACTGTGGATCCAACAAATGGCACCCAAATCCTAATAATGTTTTTCTCGTACGTGCTCGTACGCTGCTTATTGCGCTCAATACGATATACCGAACAGCTGTGAATTTTAGAGTTTAACACATGGATTTAATTTAACAATCGCAGCTTTGGGCCACTAAATTCAAGTTTCGCAGTTAAAAAATTACTCACATTTTTTAAAAACCTATTATAGTATCCAGAGTGTATAACAGAGTAAAGGTATAGTGAGAAACTGAAGCTATTTTTTATGGCATCTTAATTAATTTACTATTTTTACTGGGAATATGCCATAATTTAACTTTACAATAAGTTTATTTTGACATTTCGATGCCCTATTAAATGTCGCTGGTAGGTTCTGCGACTACTATGGTTGTAACGGGTAACGAGGAATCAGGGTTCGATTCCGGATAGGGAGCCTGAAAACAGCTACCCCATCCTCTAACCCCTTTAACGAGGATCAATTGGGAGGCAAGTTTGGTGCCAGGAACCGCGGTAATTCCAGCTCTAATAGCGTATAATAAAGTTATTGCTCGTAGTCGAATTTATGTCCCACGCCGTCGGTTCATCCTACGCGGTGTCAACTGGCGTATCGTGGTACATCCTGCCGGTAATTTCCACGTAAAAATCGAAACGTCAAAATAAATTTATTTTAAAGTCAAATTATGGCTTATTCCCAATAAAGATAGTAAATTAATTTATGAATTTAAAGTTTAGGAGGAGAGAGTATAACGCATTTGTTTAGAGCTTAGGTTGGTGCCTTGTTTAAGAGTTTGGGTTGCCGTTTTTTTTTTATGAGCCAGTCCGTTCCTGGTTAGTTTGAATATTCTTTTGCTTAAATACAATATGTGAATTCTTATACCAGTGCACTTGACCTCTATTGAAACAGCTGTATGAAATCAATAAGGTCAACAAATGCAATAACATTTTATCTTCCAACGATTTTAATTTAAAATCTAAAATACACCAAAGAAAGTATTTTACATGGAACGTATTTATACGAGGACATGTGTACGCTGAGGTTTATTTAAATATGAAACTAATTTAACTAATAAAGGTGTTCTGAAATTGCTTTCTTGTGGTATAATTAAGTTAATAATAATAGTCTAATTTTATATCGCTAAGAAG